CTCTTAATGCTGATGGATCTCTTGAATATGTATAAAACAATTTTCAATGTAAGTTTTCGCCTTAATCCTGGAATCTTCACAAACTTTGGAAAAAAATCCTATTTAACACATTCATTACCACCATCACGCAGGTGGAAAAAAAATATGTTCGAAATCGACCAAAACATGAATGCCACATTCAAACGTCACGCGCGATGCCCAGTTGTGACCTCGCGCAATATGGTTTGCCCAATTGTGATCTAGCTGTGTCCCATTGTATCCAAAAGAATTTATAATTAACCGGTTTATTATTGAAGGGTTTCGAGGTAATCGGGGAATCGAGGAATCGGACGAAACTGATGAATCTTTCAGTCAATTGCGAAAGAGGAGCGCGTTGCAGCCTGTGAGTACATCGAACTTAGTCTCGAAAAATGTGAATGAAAAACCGAAAATTTCAAAAACGAATGTAGAAGCGTTCCCTTCTGTTGCTGGCAAGTAGAATATATAGAAATAAGTTACTAATGTGTTATATAAATTATTAATTAATAATGTTGTTACAATTTTTTAACGCTATCATGTTTTTCTTTAAAAATACCATATCTTGAGAATAAAAAATTATCTGACCCCTCACCCATGGTACCACCCACCTGAAACGAATTCGTTTCGCGGGCGTGCAGTCACTCATTGTCTTTTTATCCCTTCGGCCTCCGTTAGATCCCGGGGTCCCTAGGCAGGCACCCGACCAGAAACCCGCGAAGTCTCGAAATGTTTAACTTCCGTGATTTCACGCAGCGCAGTTAAAGAAGCGGGCCAACGATGCCGGCATTTCCATACCTACTAGATTTTAGGATAGCTATCGAAGCGTTTGAGTGGAGCACCGGTTACAGATGTACCTATCCGATGTGTTGGACCCTCACTGAATGCCAGTGGATCTGCTGAAAAAACATTATCAAGCGAAAGTGTTACGGTTAACCATATTGAACAAGTAATACTTTCCTGTTTAGTAGTGTCTTCACTACTGTATTTACAGAATTTTTGTGTTTAAATATTATAAAATCCCAATACTTTGCAAGAAAATAACGAAATAACACAAATGTTCAGAAAGTAGATTTCACAAGTTTGTTTCTTCCTTTTGATTACTTTATTAGTAATTTTAGCATGTAATCGTAACTTTTAGCAGAACATAATTTTTATTCGTATTTTACGCTTTGACATAAAATTGTAATCGTTACTTTGTAGTAATAGGTAAGACGCATGCCATCACGAATATTTTTTTAGATATGCCTATGTAGTGGTACCAGCTCAGCAAAGGACCTCTCTCGTCGCGATGTGAATGAAAGGGTGAGATCATTTTAGTTCGCAAACCAGGTTGAATGAGAGGCCTCCACCCACGGTCTAATAGAGAACTTTCGTGGCGCCATCCAAACCGTGACTACAGGCCAGCGCACCGAACGATTAATTCGTTTCTTCATGAACGACACAATACTTGTACTTGCAATTGTAATTTTACTAGTTACGTGCTGAAAAAGTAATTTGTAATTGTAATCGAACATAACGACAAGTAACTGTAATGGAGCTCGATTCCCTTTTTACGTCATATTCCTATCACTGATGATGAGTACGATAAACATTTGATGTTAGACGCGCATTCAAGAGCAAGAAATATTATTACCATAAGAAACTGATAAATACAATGAAAGTTTTGCAGAAATTCTAGAACAGTAAAATTGAGTGTTTAAGGCAGCATGAAGAGACAGGAGAAAGAGGATCAGAATGTATTGCTTCTTGTTTGTACAGTAAACGTATGATTAATAATTTGTACAGAAAAAAATATTATTACAGTCTCAACTCCGCACGGCAGCAGCCAGTGAACGACCAAACGAAGCGAATTAGAGTACCCGAACATTCAGTGCCTTAGTTCACGCCACGGTGCCAGAAATGACTTATACCATTAGAAGGATCACCGCAGTTCAAGTGAAATCGAACCAGGTACGACTATCGAGCTTGAAAGCTTAGCTTCTGCAATTGGCCTACAGAGCGCGACAGGGAACTGTATACTCTCGGGGATTTTACTGTCCTTCAACAGAGGCGCAGCAGAGTCCCGTGCGGCGGGCAGTATAAACGAACAACTCAGCTAAACAAAGCGGTGTTGCCGGAAATGTATTACAACAAAAGAAAAGTGAAACCTAGGACCCACATTTTACATCACATTTTGCAAAGAGTATTGCCTGTGATTTTCTTATTATTCTTTGTATTATTACGGAGTATTAAGGTTGCTACGAGCGACGCAGGTGGCACAAGGCATCAGTTGATGTATCTGCAGTGCCTCTGACGGAGAAGTTTTAGGTTCAAGTCCCGAAAGCGGTAGGATTTTCGACACTAGCTTGTCAGCTAGGTCGAATTCAGTCGCTATCTGGAGAAGAATTCTACCGGCCGGCTGCTCTGATCGGTAGCGTTCCATGTTTTTTTCGATCAACACAAGGTGAATGCCGTAGCAGTACCCTACCAAACGGGCCACAGACCGCGCGCGATATTTCCTACCTCTTCCTCGTCCTCACCTAACCCCTTACACATACTTACATTAACATGCAATACATTACCACACACGCCGGGAGAACTAGAACGCCGGGAGAGGTTAGACCTTGACCCGGCCTGGGGTAGTGCCCCGCTGGGGGGAGATACCTACGAGTAGTGAGAAAAACCCGCTAGCCAACGGTAGGTCAGCGCCGGATCTCGCCATACACTACCGCCTCAAGAGGAAAAAACATGCACTACACTAACGGAACTCGGCAGGTGACTCGCCCGGAATCACTATCAATCAACCGATCAAAGGGTGCTCCGGATCACTTTTTTGAAGAGAGCTGACTGCCCTGCTACTGCATGAGCGAACTAACGCGGAAATGATAATAAGAAATGAAAATGATAATATCTTGGCAAATAGAATGCGCCAGACGTAGGTAGGAAAACGCGCTAAACAGTCTTCGCCCGTCGAAATAGTCTGTCAGTAATAACTTTCAATGATTGTGTCGTGAAGTGCTCTTTTAATGCCTTTTCATAAAAATAGTTCCAAAATGACTTTCCTTTCTCGCATTGTTTCAGATCGGGTGTACAAATAGTTCTTATATTATTAATAAACAAATTGACAAATAGACAAATAGACAAATAGATAAATAAATAAATACTCCTTAATATCGTACTGTTTTAATATCGACATAAATCAACGAGAGGATTAAAGACCGACGTCTGTCAACAGCGTAACAGTTACAGACCGTTATCACAGTCGAAATAAATGAGATGTGGTAAAAAGTGGCGTGTGAGTACACTTCTTCCAAGAAATGTTTGTTTGTTGATGTTGTTTTTTTTGTTTTGTTTTTAGTAAATACGAGCGAAATATGACCTGATTACATTAGTAACATATCCAAAAGCTTAAGTTGTTTATCTCAACTGAACAAATTTGATCAAATTTTTTACGTGATTTTTCGTTGCTCATAGGGCATTTTAAAAATATTTTAAGAGCATTTAATCCATCTTTTTAGCGGTGTTTAATTTCATCAAAATTCGCCCCTAGTAATAATTACATAGGCACACAAAATAAAAAAAGTTGGTAGCCCCACACTGGACACATAATTCTCTACGTACTTCAACGCGCTGAATCCGAATTTGAAGCTAGAATTGCGCCACCACCTCCCAGTTTTTTAATTGCAAAAAACACTGAAGTTTACAATTCACAATTCCAAGTTAATTCTTCGCGATTGAAAAAAAATTGGAGAGTGATGGTGCAATTCTGGATTCAGATTCGGATTCAGCGCGTTGACACGCATGTGTCAAGTTTTTGGGTCGGAGTACAGTTTTTTGCGATTTAAACTAAATTGGAAAGAGTGGTGGCGCAATTGTGGCTTCAGATTCGGATTCATTGCGTTGACTTCAATAGCATATGTCAAGTGTTTAGGGTACGACAACGATTGTTGTGTGTGCCTGTGTAGCTTATAGCAATGAACGGGTCCGTTGTCGCTAACGCAGGTGGCTGCGGTGTGTTTCAGCGGCGTACATCAAGCCGTGCAACGCGAGCGCGCCCATCGACGAGCTGGAGGCCTGCGCCACGCGCCACGCGCAGGAGGGCTTCCCCTCCGTCGTCAGAGGTGAGCGCCTCCTCCGACTAACCACAGCGGCATCGCAAAACAACCGTAGCCCGGAAACACAATGTTCAGGAGAGAGAAAAAAACGAAGTTCCTTCACAAAATTTGAAGGATGAGAATTGTTGAGTACTTCCTGTACGTATTGTAAATATTGAGGAACGCATGAGTACAGTGCATGTTTGCGTTGTATTGTGAAATTTATTGGATAAAGTGGGAATACCAGGAATGGAAAACAATAAAGTGCAAAAAAATAGTCGAAGAAGCCAATTGTTCAATTGCACCCTTGACCATCGTAATTCAAGGAGTTAAAATTAATATCATAATTATATTCACTTTTTTTGAAATCGCTCAAAGAGAATACCAAACTCGTAAATCATTTCATGTAGATCACTATATTCCATCATGAAAATTTCACAATTATGCTAATAGTACATTAAATATTATATTGGTAACTTACCGATGTTGGGGTAAACTCGCTGTGAAACGTTGCTAAGAGATGAAATAAAGAATTTGATAGAAAAAGGAATATAAATTGATTGTCAAAAACAAGAAGAATCTATAATTTTACAAACTTACGCATAGACAATCATTGCTTTCAATAATAATTTATAAAATTTTCTTGTTAATTATAGTGCATTTTATTCCGGTACCTGGCTGCACCGCCCGAATACGACTGTTAACAAGCGTATGGAGTCGTCGTATACGACTGTTCACAAGCGCCAGTCGTATACGACTGTTGAAATATGCATAAATGCGTCGTATGCGACTGTTGACAAGCGTACGTCGTATGCTACACTTGACAAGCGCATGCAGCGTTGTATGCGACTGTTAACAAGCGCAAGTCGTATGCGACCGTTGACAAGTGCATGGCGGCGTTGTATATGACTGTTGACACGCGCATGACGACGTCGCATGCGATTGTTGACAAGCGCAAGCCGTGGGCGAATGCTGAGAAGCGCGTGGCGGGGTGCGCAGGGGACCGCAGGTACAAGGTGCCCGCGCTGAACCCGCTGCTCATCCCGCGCATGGTGGTGGACGACGGCCAGGGTCCGCTGGGGCTCAACCTCGTGGCCACCGACCTGCACTTCGGCGGCATGGAGAACGTGCGCATTGACCGCGTCAGGTGAGCAACGCTACTGCAACGCACTCGCAGAAAGGCTAGTCAATTTCATTTAGATTTAGGTAAAAATATACATCAAACTTGATGTACCTTACGTATTAAAAAGAGTATTAAATTTTATTCACAAGTTAAAATCAGTGTATGTTTAATGTAAAGGTGTTCCCTGCTTCTCATCATTAATATCGTATGTTCATAATCACATCATTACATCAAGGTCATTAATTCCTCCCTCCCCCACTCCTTTCCTTCCTTCCTTTCTTCCTTCCTTCCATCCAGATATGACCATAAAGCTTTGACTCTCGCATCCCAATGTACAGTGAACATTAAATTCAATCAGCATTCAATGTACGTTACATTAAAGTAATGCGAATTCCTCGCGTGCGGATTTCTTTCTCACTGTGAAATTTTTACAGTGTACCTTATACTTCGATTAGAACAGAGTATCCCTTCAGGGTCATCCAGTCGGGAGCTTCAGTAACAAAAATTTAAGTAGTAACAAAGCTCATGTCACCATATTCTTCTAGCTCGTGATCTTCAAGAGACATTGTTGTAATCGGAGAATAGTAGGGCGGGTCTTTTAATGGGAAACAGTTTTATTTCTGCTCTGCAGGTTCATTATATATTATAGATCCTCGGCTCCATCAACAGTTAAAATACTTCTTTAATATTTGTTTCATTACGAAAATACGTTTAAATATCGTTAATCTGATGTAATGATTCATGTCAATGTCGGGAAGAGAATACTATAGTAAATAAGGTTTCACCAATGTTCTTGTAGGTGCAAAGAAACCATCAAAGTATGTGACTGTAGATATCCAAAATGGATAATCAAAGTCTTCGATAAATAAATAAAATGACCGTGAGAGCTGTTGTGTACCAATCCCTAAAACGAATATAGAATTAAAAAGTATTTGATAGCGCTGAAGTAATTAAAATGTCAATTAAATCAGTTCATGACAGGAGTGTGGAAACGGATAGGTTTCAAGATCCTAGTCATTAAAAACAATCTTTCCCAGCACTTCTAAAAACATTGTTAAATTAATAAAATGTTTCATTTTGTTTGTACAGGTTTGACATGGACAAGAAATATGCGTGGTACGATGTGTTAGTTCCTGTGGCCAGTATAGAGAGCAAGTATAATATATCAGGACGCATTCTCTTGCTGCCTATAACCGGCTATGGAGACTGCAATCTCACAATGAGTAAGTGAAATTAGTGGTGCTAAAACAGCACGTACTCTCTGGGCCATAATTTAAGCAAAATTACCCCAAAAGTACTCAAATTTTTAAAAATTGCACTGACCTTCCTTTGAAATGCATCTTTAAGAAACAGATTTTATTAAGGGAGAAATCTCTACTTTATAACTGTAGTTACAGAAACACACCAAAAAATTTTGAACATTTGCAATTTTCGAAAAATGAAGGTTTTTTTTTTTTTTACAAAAAACAACCCGGCATTGTTCTTTCAAACGTTCTTCATACTATCCAACAGCAAAATGTAATAAAAAATAATCCTTTTTTGTTAATTTTGAAAATGTTGCAGGGGCTTCGTGTAAAATAATCCCACAGTCAAATCATCTCGGTAAATTATCTCGGTTTCAAATTCATGGAACCGAGAAATCGAGCACGAAATATCTATTTTGGAGAAAATCGACTGAAGTGTTTAGCCACTAGCATTGTTCACAGACGGACGGTCGGACGGAACAACGTTTTGCCGTCATTCGATTTTTCAGTATCAGGGACCCAGAAAACTAGTATTCTGGCTACACCACGCTGTAGAGAGTTTGTACTTAATTTAGCAACTGGATTAACCTACTTTTGCGTCGAGTTTTTCCGCCAAAATTCCGCCGTTTTTTCGCACAGCATAACTTTCTCTCTTCAGCGTAAGCGGTAGCGAAAAAGTAAAAGTCCCTACGATGACGTATACAGTGCAAGGTCTACAGGTGATATTATTATAATTTGACTGTTCATTGTTTTATATATTGAGTATATTTTTATAAAAGAATGCCAATGAAGCGTGTGTGCTTACAGAGGACATGTTCATCTCGTACGAGTACCGCTTCAATCTGGAGAGGCGGCCGGACGGGGAGGTGTACTTCATCCCGCTGCCGCACGACGGCTTCCGGTTCAACACATCGCGGCTCTACGTGCACCTGGACAACCTCTTCAACGGCGACCCGCTCCTCGGTGAGGCACGCA